GACAACGATCCAGCGACGAAAGGCGAAGTAAAAATGTTTGGAATTTTTCAGGTAATTCTCAGCTTTGTTACAACTTTTAAGCTGCTTAGCTGGCTGCTGACTGTAACAAAAACTGCGTTTCTGCCAATCATTACTTCAAGCACTCAGTACAACAGAATTTGCTTGTATCTTGCCCTGTACTAGCAACCTCTCCGCTAATAAATACCGATACTGCAGATCGACTGAGACGTATGCGTCATAAGTCAGACGTAGGAAGTAGCAACTCAGACGCTTCCGCTTTGGCAACGATGTGAACTGTTATCATCAAGTGAGTGTGATAAGGAAAGAGCCGCATCAATCTTGAAAAAACGATTTATTTGGTGAAAATGAAGCCACTGTTATGATGTTACGAAGATTCGACCCCCAAAGTTCCAGCTCAGGTTACTATCATAAAGTCACAATGATCAGACCACGAACTTTTGAATCTGGTGATCAAAAATCATTAGTTTGATTCAAGAAGATTACAGTGTAGCACAGCAGCGTTAATTACGTGCTGGAACTTCTACCATCTGTGGTTTCACAGTGTCTAATCGTATAAAAGCATTCTCTCTTCTACCTCTCCCCTTTTTAAAGCCTTTTAAAACCGACTCTTTTTTATTCTGAAAAAACTAAGACACCAGTGAATTTGACCTTCATGATTGACGATACCTATCGTGTTTTGAAGAGCTATAAATGCAGAACTGTTTACTATTTTCAAATCTATCACAACAGCAAAATGCAGTTGCAATCCTATAACTTCATCACCGCCATTTCGGTTCCTGCCGGTGTCGCATTCCTACCAGCAACAAATGAGACGTTTCGAATTTCCTCCGCATTATCAAAACCCGAGACGTTCTCCTTAAATAGTAATGTATAAGATAACAGAAGATAATCGTGAATAAGTAAATCAGCTTTTACTGATGAAAGTAATTCAAATACAGGACGAAGAGAGGATACTATATCATTTTTACTGTCCCAGCCAGTATTCACTATTCCATGCGCGTTAGTGGTAACGTTTCACATCCGTACATCACTACTTTCAGCATGGTGGTAATGATGGGATGGGTAGGTTTTTCTACTAAAGACATTCTGGGGTCATTGGCAAACAGTATTTGCTCGATACAGATGTATCTGTCAATTTTTTCCAGTTCAGTACCATTCAGGTGCGATGTAACAGCAGACAAATGGTGGCACTTTGCATCACTTTCGTTTTTGATGTGTATTCTTCGCTAGTGGTCAGATTATTTTTCCAATTCGGCCTACGAAATACCAACTTGGGGCAGGCAATAAAAAGAAAGTTAAAAAAAAAAAAGGAAACAGAGCAGAATCCTCGCGCGTTTCGCGTTTTATATGCACTAGAACTGGGAAAAATTTGTTATTTCATATCCTCTCATCAAGCTCTGCGCGTCGTTTCAAGCAACGATTAGTGACTGTAAGCATGCAGCACGAAAAATCACGACTACCATCCAGCATTTGGATGCATTCAGTTACAGCGTTAGCATTCGATCTCCACACTGACTGTCCGAGGTATCTTCATAA